TGTGAGGAAACTACTTGAGGCTAATAAAAAGTACCATCTATAAGGATTAGAGGAAACTGCCTTGCATTCGTACAGGACCAAGAACGGTGGCTATTCCCGCCAACCAGACAGGAAAATCACATAATACATCAGGCATTGGACAGAGTACTTAGGAAGGTCTTGTATCAGTAACCGAGAATACTTAGCCTTAGGCTGAGCATTGCCCCAGTCTTTCATAAAAATATCACAAAAACAAAGCCCCAAAGAATCAAATCGTTTCCAAATAATTTAACTGCATACCAGAACAAAACTCAATGATATTCATAGGTATACAAAAATATCCAGCACTCAACAAAGTAAAATTAACAATGCCTGACATCTAATGAAAGATTACCAGGCATGCAAAGAGACAGGAAAACACAGCAAGGAGCCTAATTAATCAAAACCAACCCAGACACAGATGTTATAATCATCAGAGGACAGTTATTATAACTATTTCATATGTTCAAAAAGTTAAGTAGATGTAGAAGTTTTTTTTTAATTTTTAATTTTTTATAGATGTGGAGTACAATTCAGGGTTAGGTATACAAATGTTCATTATGCAGGTACCCTTGTTGATGTGGTGTGCCCCCAAGATATTTTTTTATAAGACCCAAATTAAACTTCTAGAGATGAAAATTACAATGTTTGAGATTAAAAAAAAATACTCTGGATGAGATTAACAACAGATTAGTCATTGCAGAAGAACAAATTAGTGACTTGGAAGCATGGTAATAGAAATCTGATTTGCAATGAAATACAGAGAGAAAAAGAAATAGAAGAAAGCATCAGTGAGACAACTACAAGCAGCCTAACATACTGGTAATTGGAAGGCCTCAAGAAGTGAGGGTGGGGAGACAGAAAATATATTTGAATAAATAATAGCCCCAAACTTCCCAAACTTGATGAAAATTACAAATCCATAGACCCAAGACATTCAATAAACCCCAAGCACGAGAAATGCAAAAAAAAAAGACACCAAGGCATATCATTATAAAATTACCCAAAAACAATCATAAAGAGAAAATTTTAAAAGCAACCAGAGAAAAAAGACATGTACAGCAAAACAAAAATAAGCTTGATATCAAATTTCTTATGGGAAACAGTATAAATAAGACGACAGTGGAAAACATCGTTAAACTAAAATCCTATTATTGGAAAAAATATCTTAATGAAAGTGAAATAAAGACACTTTCAGATATGCAAAATATGAAAGAGTTCACTACCAGAAGACTTACACTACAAGAAATGCTAAAGGAAGTCACTCAGATAATGATAGCAGATGAAAATCTGAATGTGTACAAAGTATTGAAAACCACTGGAAATAGTAACTATGTGTGTGGGTAACTATTAAAATGATAATTGGTTGTTTCACTGATATTATATTCTGAGGTTTATAATACAGAAGTTCACTATTGTAAAATTCTTGTAAGTGAAGTTTTGCAACATTGCTTGAGGTTTTATTGTTATAAGTTAAGATATACAGTTGTCTTTCTGTATCCTCAAGGGATTGATTCCAGGACTCCTGTATATACAAAATTTGCAGAAACTTGAGTTCTTTATGTAAACTGGCACAGTATTTGCATATAACCTATGCACATCCTCCTATCAACTTTGAATCATCTCTGGATTACTTATGATACCTAATATAATGGAAATGTCACACGATTGGTTATATTGTATTAATTTTTATTCGTATTTTTCTTGTTATTATTTTTATGGTCTTTTAAATATTTAATTTATTGTTCTCTCAAAGGGTACATGTACCTGTTTGTTACATAGGTCTATTGCATGATGGTGAGGTTTGGGCTTCTAACCCTTTCCCCTCCAGGTTGTGAGCATGGTACCCAATGGCTGGTTTTTCAACTTCTATCCCTCTCTACCCCTTTCCCCTTTAGTAGTCTCCAGTGTCTGTTGTTTCCATCCATGCTCATGTGTGCCCAGTATTTAGCTCCCACTTATGAGTGAGAACATACATATTCAGTTTTCTGTTTCTGTCATAATTCACTTAGAAATAATGACCCCCAGCTGCATCCTAGTTGCTGCAAATGTCATGATTTCATTATTTTTTATGACTGCATAGTATTCTATGGTATATGTATGTATGTATGTGTGTGTGTGTGTGTGTGTGTGTGTGTGTGTATATATATATAGCCATATGTGTGTGTACATATACAAATACATACATATACCATAGAATACTATGCAGTCATAAAAAATAATGAAATGTATATATATATATATATATATATATATATATATATATACACACACACACATATATATATTATATGACATTTTCTTTAGTTCACTGTTGATGGGCATCTGGGTTGGTTCCATGTATTTGCTATTGTGAATAATGCTGCGATAAACATATGAGTGCAGGTGTCTTTTTGGTAGAATGATTTATGCTCCTTTGTGTATATGAAGTGGGACCAAAAAACCTGGAATTATCTTTTGGATGGTGGACCCCTTGTAGTACACTCAGAATTTGTTCCTCCAGATCAAATGGCCAACCAATCTTTTTATCTAGAAGTTTTGAGAGGATTGCATCATGGTTTGTGGAAGAAACATCCAGAGATGTGGCAAAATGATGACTGGTTCTTCCACTATGACAACGTACCTACCCACACCATGCTGGGTGTTCAGCAATTTTTGACCAAAAACAGCATGAGCCCTGTGCCCCACCATCCCTATTCACCCGATCTTGGCCAAGTAACTTTCTTTTTGTTTCTCTGGATGAAAAAAGTACTCAAAGGGAAATGTTTTGCTGATGTGGATGAGGAAACAGAAAAATGCAGAAGCACTAAAAAGGCATCAAAGTTGATGAGTTCAAAAACTGTTTGGAGCAGTGAGAAAAGTATCTCAATAGGAGTATTGCATCAAACAAAGAGTACTTTGAAGGCGTCTGAAGTTTAAGCATGTAAGAATAAATACACAATTTTTTTTTTTTTTTTTGGTGAGTTGGAGTCTCACTGTCGCCCAGACTGGAGTGCAGTGGCCGCTCCAGGCCACCGCAGCCTCAACCTGCTGGGCTCCAGTGATCCTTCCACCTCAGCCTTCCAGTAGCTGGAACTACATCCAGTAGCTGGAACTACAGGCGCGTGCTACCAAACCTGGCTAATTTTTGATTTATTGTAGAGATGAGGTCTCGCCAAGTTGCCCAGGTGGGTTTCAAGCCCACAGGCTCAGGCAGTCCACTCACCTCAGCCTCCCGAGGCGCGGGATTACAGGCTGAGCCCCCGAGCCCAGCTATTACACAATTTTTTTTTTTTTTTTTGAGTTGGAGTCTCACTCTGTTGCCCAGACCAGAGTGTAGTGGCCACTCCTGGCCACCGCAGCCTCAACCTGCTGGGCTCCGGCGATCCTTCCGCCTCAGCCTTCCAAGTACCCGGAATTACAGGCGTGCGCTACCACACCTGGCTAATTTTTTGATTTTAGTGTAGAGATGAGGTCTCGCCTGCCCAGAGGGGTCTTGAACCCGTGGGCTCAGGCAATCCACTCACCTCAGCCTCCCAAAGGCGCGGGATTACAGGCTGAGCCACCAAGCCCGGCTATTACACAATTTTTTATAAATAAATTTCATATTTGGAGGGGATCCTTCCCTTATATACCCAGTAGTGGGATTTTTGGGTCGAATGGTAAATCTATTTTTAGTTCTTTGAAAAACTCCAAAATGTTTTTCACAGGAGTTGAACTAGGTTATATTCCCACCAAAAGTGTATGATTGTTCCCTTTTCTCCACATCCTTGCCAGCATCTGTTGTTTTTTGACTTTTTAATAATAGCCATTCTGACTGGTGTGAGATGGGATCTAATTGTGGTTTTGATGTGCATTTCTCTGATGATTAGTAATATTAAGCATCTTTTCATATGTTTGTTAGTCACTTGATTTTCTTCCATTGAGAAGTGTCTATTCATGTTCTTTGCCCACTTTATAATGGGGTTATTTGGTTTTTTCCTGTAGATTGTTTTATAGTTTCTCATGATTAGGCCTTTGTCAGATGCATAGTTTGCAAATATTTTCTTTCATTCTGTGGTTGTCTCCAGGAAGCAGTTTCCTGGGTTTTCTTTTAAGATTTTTATAGTTTGGGTCCTTAATCCATTTTGAGTTACTTTTTAAATATGGTGACAGGTAGGAGTCCAGCTTCATTCTTCTGCATATGGTTGGTTAGCCAGTTTTTTCAGCACCATTTTTTGAATAGAGTGTCCTTTCCCCATTGTTTATTTTTGTCAGCTTTGTCAAAGATGACAGCAGCTTTAGGTCTGAGTTCTGTTTCATTGGTCTCTGTATCTAATTTTGTACCAGTACCATACTGTTTTGATTACTGTAATCTCATAGTAAAGTTTGAAATCTGGCAGTGTGATGCCTCCGGCTTTGTTCTTTCTGCTCACTATTCCCTTGTCTACTAGGGTTCTTTTTTGCTTCCATATGAATTTAAGTATTTTCTAGATCTGTGAAAAATGATACTTGTAGCTTGATAGGGATTGTGTTGAATCTATAGATTGCTTTAGGCAGTATGGACTTTTTTTTCTTTGGCTGAGTACAGGGGACTTTATTGATAGTACATGAAAAGGTAGAACTCCCTGCCTTCCCGCCCCAAATTCTTCAGGGAGTCTGGCATGGACACTGTGAAGAGGAAGAGTCTTACTGTGGTTGGGGACTGAGTGCGGCAGGGACTCCCCAGCAGTTAAAGGCCTCTCTCTTCCTCTCATGCTTTTGCTGGGGCTGGTTATCCAGGGTCTCTTAGTCCTTGGAGGCCATGTGGACCATGAGGTCCATCACCCTGTTGCTGGAGCCACATTCATTGTCATACCAGCAAGTGAGCTTGACAAAGTGGTCACTGAGCACCAAAAGTGGAAGAGTGGGTGTCCCTGATAAAGTTGGAGGACACAACCTGGTGCTCGATATAGCCCAGAATGCCCTTGAGGGAGCCCTTGGATGCCTGCTTCACCATTTCTTGATGTCATCATATGTGGCAGGTTTTTCCACATGGTAGCTCAGGTCCATGATGGACACATTGGTGGTAGGGACATAAAAGTCCATGCCAATGAGCTTCCTGTTTTCTATGGCCTTGGCGATGCTGGTAGATGCAGGGATGATGTTCTGGAGAATCCTGTGGCTGTTGCACCAAAGCTTCCCAGAGAGGCCGTCCATGGTCTTCTGGGTGGCAGTGATGGCATGGACAGTGGTCCTGAGTCCCTCCACGATGCTAAAGTTGTCACGGATGACCTTGGCCAGTAGGGCTAAGCAATTAGTGGTATAAGAGGCATTGCTGATGATCGTGATGTTATTCTGGTTCACATCATCACAAACAAGGACATCAACGGAGGAGATGGAAATGACCCCCCCCATAAGTGAGCCCAACCCTCTCCAAGGAGTGAAGATGCTGGTGGACTCCACAGCACAATCAGTGCCAGCATCACCCCATTTGATTTTTGTGGGATCTCACTCATGGAAGATGGTGATGGGGTTTCCATTGATGATAAGCTTCTTGTTCTCAGCCTTGACAGTGCCATGGAATTTGCCATGGGTGGAGTCCTACTGGAATATGTAGACCATGTAGTTGAAGTCAATGAAGGGGTTGTTGATGGCAACAGTATCCACTTTGCTAGAGTTCAAAGCAGCCCTGATGACCAGGTACACAATAAGGCCAAATCTGTTCACTCTAGCCTTCACGTTTGCCATGGTGTCTCAGGGATGTGACTGGTGCTGCATGAGAGATGCAGCTGTCTGTTGAATGAGAGGAGCAGAGAGCTCAGTAAGGACATTTTGACAATACTGATTCTTCCAATCAATGAGCGTGAGATATTTTTCTATTTCTTTGTGTAATCTTTGATTTCTTTCAGCAGTGTTTTGTAGTTCTCATTGTTGGAATCTTTCACTTCTTTGGTTAGATGTATTCCAAAGTATTTTTTGTATGTGGCTATTGTGCATGGGATTGTGCCTTTTTTGTTTGTTTTGAGATGGAGTCTCACTGTCACCCACGCTGGAGTGCAGTGGCATGATCACAGCTCATCGCAACCTCAACCTTCTGGGCTCAGGCGATCCTTTAGCCTCAGCCTCCCAAGTAGCTGGGACTATAAGGTATATGCCACCATGCTCAGCTAATTTGTAAAAATTTTTGTAGAGATAGACCTCACTATTTTGTGTAGGCTGGTCTCAAACTCCCAGGCCCAGGCAATCCTTCCACCCTGGCCTCCCAAAGTACTGGGATTACAGGTGTGAGCTACTACTCCCAGCCTTACATTTGTTTATGTGGTAGGTTACATCTTTTTTTTTTATCAATATTTTTTATTATGGTTTTGTGGGGTACAGTTAAGGGTTAGGTGTACAATTACGTTTCATTCAGGCACCCTGTTGATAAGAGGTGTTTCCCCATCCCCAGACAGATATTTGCTACTGTTAATCCCATCTCCCTCCCCCACC